CCGACCCCGGGCGCATGGCTCGTGGGTGGCCCCGCCCCTGGGTGCGCGGCGCATGCATGGCCCCACTCCCGTGTGCCCGGCACGTGAGTGGCTCTGCCCCCAGGTGCCCGGTAGCTATGCAGTGTTGGGGACCACTGGTCTTGACTCTCAAGCTGCGTACTTACTCTCCCCCTGAAAGAACAACCCCATCTAGAACAGGTGCTATGCCACATTCCCGAACAGATCCCTCCTGATCCACAGGACCTCAGTCTTATCTGGGTTCAACTTCAGCTTATTTGACTTCATCCAAACCATCACTGCCTCCAGACACCGATTTAGATCAGCCCCCCCCACACCCGGTTCTAATGTCACAGGGAAATAGAGTTGGGTGTCATCTGCATATTGATGGCACTGTCCTCCAAAACTCCTTATGATCTCTCCTAGCGGCTTCATGTAGATATTAAACAGTATAGGAGACAAGATGGAACCTTGTGGGACCCCATAGCACAATCGCCACGGGGTCAAATAGCAGCCCCCCAGCTCCGTATAACTAGTGTTAGTTAAAACTCAAGCAGCTGCATTCTGGACCAGTTGAAGTCCTTCTGAAAGTGTCCTGACAGGTAGGGCCGGAACCACCGCAAAACAGTGCTTCCAATACCCAACTCTGCCAAGCGCCCCAAAAGAATATCATGGTCAATGGTATCAAAAGCCGCTGAGAGGTCTAAGAGAATCAACAGGGATGCACTCCCCCTGTCTATCTCCCGGCGTAAATCGTCTATCAGGGCAACCAAGGCTGTTTCAGTTCCAAAACCAGGCCTAAAGCCAGACTGAAATGGATCTAAGTAGTCTGTTTCTTCCAAGAAAGCTTGGAGTTGCAATGCCACCACTCACTCGAGTACCTTGCCCAAGAAGGGAATATTAGCAATTGGGCGATAGTTATTTAAGTCATGTGGGTCCAGGGAAATCTTCTTGAGTAACGGTTTTATCACTGCCTCTTTCAAGGCAGCAGGAACCATACCAGATCTAAAAGACACATTAATAATCCCCTGGACCCAGCCAGTCATCCCTTCCCAGCTAGATTTAATAAGCCATGGAAGGGCAGGGGTCAAGTGAGCACATGGTCGGTCGCACTCCTCCAAGCACCTTGTCCGCATCCTCAGTATGCAGTAGCTGAAATTGATCCAGAGAAAAAAGACTGAGTGGTGCATTCAACACATTCTGTGCCCCACTTAGATAGCAACCAGAGTCCAAATCCAACCGGATGCGGGCGATCTTGTTTGCAAAATGCTTTGCAAACAGATCACAGCGGAGGGGCCAAAGGCTCCTCTGTTTCGATATGAGTGCCAGACTGCAACAGGCCCCGCACTACTCAAAACAATTCCGCTGGACGACATTGTGCGGATGCGATACGGATGGGGAAATAGCTTTTCTTTTCTGTCAGCACTGCCACAGAGTAAGCTCGCAGTTCAGCTCTAACCCGCAGTCGATCGGACTCAGCTCTAGTTCTCCTCCAGCGGCGTTCTAGCCGTCGCACAGACTGTTTTGCTGCCATCAGCTCCCCAGAAAACCAGGGAGCAAACTTGGCTCATCTGGTCTAAAGAGGGTGCTTAGAAGCAATCATATCAACTGCCCGGGCTACTTCTATGTTCCATATATTGACTAGGGCATCTACAGGACCATTTGCCATAATGGCTGAACAATCCCTCAGGGACCTCTGGAAACCCTCCGGATCCATCAGCCTCCGAGGGCGGATCTTAATTGGTCCTCCGCCTCTGTGGAGGGGAAGGTCAGCAGATAGTCTAAACTTGACCAGGTAGTGACCAGTCCATGACAAAGGGAGTGTAGCCACATCCTTTATCCCAAAAAGTCTATCACCCTTAGTCCAAAAAACCAAATCGAGTGTATAACCTGCAACATGTGTTGGGTCAGTTATTTCTTGGGATAGTCCTAGGGTGGTCATGGTATCCATAAAATCTCGGGCCGGACCAGAAAGACCAGCCTCAGCGTGGATATTAAAGTTCCCCAAGACCAAAAGCCTCGGCATCCTCAATGCCACGTCCGAGACCACGTCGGCCAGCTCGAGCAGAGCATCTGCCGTATAGCGAGGTGGGCGGTACACAAGCAGCATATCCAATCTATCCTGGCCACTCAACATCAAGTACAGACACTCGAATCTGACACTTTGTTGGACCAAAACTCTAGCCAGTGAGATAGTATCTTGATAGACAATTGCCACCCAGCCGGGCACAATTGGGAAAAGTCAACATCTCCTCCACTCTCAGCCAGGTCTCTGTTACAAGCCAGGTCAGTCCCTTCATTCAGAATTAAATCGTGGATGACAGCTGTCTTCTGGGATACTGACCTGGCATTCAGCAACAGCACCCTCAGGGCTGATGGCCAGGTATAAAAGTTCCCAAAATTGTTAAGGCTGGGAACAGGACCGGAAAAAGGAATAGCACATAACTATCTAAACCTCATTCTAGTTTATTAACACACACACATTCCCAGCCAACAGAGCAGACCCTGCCCCCTCTGGCCATGAGGCATGTCCCATTCCCAGCTGCCAGAGCAGGCAATGTGACAGGTCCTGTTCCCAGCCCCAGCTGCCAGAACAGGTCCTGGCCCAACCTGCCACGTGGAAGCCCTGGCCACTGGAGGAGGCCTCCCCTCCCCCACAGCCATGGTAGGTCCTGGCTGTCCACTCCATTGGCTCCTTCACCACTCCATCTCAGCTGACCCTGCCCACTGGAGCAGCTGCCTGACTGCTGCTGTGCAGTTCTCCAGAGGAAGTGGATGGGGGAAGAATTTTTTGTGCGTGGCCAAGCAGGTGCACACCTTAGTGCAAGCTATGCTCACAGCTACGGCGTTCTTCTCTTTACCAAGCGGCAAATGTCCTAATTCTTGTTATCCCCACTGACAAGATTTGAATGCCATCAACATTCATTTATTTCATGGAAAGTGATGCCACCGTCTCTTTCTCTTCCAGGAATGTGGATCCTCCCATCTGGTATGACACAGATGTGAAGCTGTTTGAAATTCAGCGAGTCTGAGATGGAGAAGGCACTTACTTCTGCTTCGAGAGAAACACTGGAAAGAAGGACCTTGCTGTGTGCTGCTTCATCACAGCTATTCCTGCATTTCATAGCCAGCTGAGAGACCAAATGGACAGTCGCTTCCATTTACCTACCTGTCATTTTAAGCTTTAATCAGGTTCAGCTCAGAGATACCAACCCGCCAGCCCACCTCCCTTCCTACCCCTCCCCCGGAATCCGGAGTGAGAGATGCCAAAGGAGTGCCCATTGTGGTTGTTGCACTAGAAGCCAGAACGTTCCTAGCTCTTCTGTCATTCTCTCACTCCTGGATTCTGTCTGGACACAAATCTGAATCTGACCAGCTGGGGGCTCTGATCTCCACTCCCTCACCCCCGTCAGATTCACCATTTAAGAGACTCGGATGGTAAAGAGTTGAACTGGGTCTGTGAGGGAAGCTGCTGCTGCTGCAGGATGTAGGTTTTTAAAATTATTTTAAAAATATAGAAATTGTTGTTGTTCTTTTCCAAAGAATTTATTCCAAGGCTCCATAAGGTTGCAGGTCACCTTGCTGCTGCCTCTCCTCACTGTACATGGCAGAGCGGGAGGATCTTTATTGAACAGCTATCTGAAAAGAGCATGCTAAAGGGAATCCTGTTTGTTAATCCACTTCATGTCTCTGTTTTGAGTCTCTCTTCCCTTCCCCTTCTATGGTTGCAGTAGCCAGGGCTTCCAGACAGTGTCCAAAGCTCTGCCCTTACCCCTTCTTCGCCACTTTGTCACTCCTTGCTGTAGACTTTTGCAGACCAAGAATAACGTTGTGCCCTTAGAAATGGGGTCTTTAAATGACCAGGGTATTTGTATCTAAAGCCACTTTGAATGGACTACTCAGCGGAAGGGGATCAGTGCAAAGGCTGGGAGGAAAGAGCTTGAGGTATCATCAAGCTCTTCCTTGCAAGGAGAAGGGAACAGTTTGTGTTTCTCTCAGTCAGCCTTCTCCAGCTGACTAAAAGGAGCATTGTCTGGCTTGGGAAGAAGCTATATCCCATCCCCCCTTTTTATGGAGCACATTGTCATGTCCTGTGGTGCAATGGTGAAAGGAATTGATTGTGTGCTGCTTTTTCAGGACAAGGAGTTAAAGGAAGGTCTTAGAGAAGTCTTATGAAGCATGTTGAAGGTAGCAGGAGAAAAGCAGCTAGGGACCAGTGGTCGGAGTGGCTGCTGTGGTAAAGTTGGATCCTTCAAGTAGATCTTGGTGGCTTCTGGGTTGACAAAGCAAGACTATTGGATCCCAGGCATGGCACAGCTAGGAACCTGTAGTTTGTAGGGAGGCCGCGAGATCACCTGCCTCAGTCATAAGAGATTGTGATGCTGAGCCTGATGCCGCAGTGGAGGGTTGCAGTTCTGGAGAGGAGGGTGGGAGCCACAGGTGTTTCTGTTCCACTGGGAGGGTATTCCTGTTGTAGGCCAGCTGTCTTGGACCACACAATGAGAGGGATCCTCTCACGGACCAAGTCCTAATTCTCCTGCTGCTTAGTCATTAGTGTTTTCTTTCTGCCGATGGCCCAGGACAGCCACTAATGAGCCTTAGCTTAGCACCACTGCTCTAGATAGCTCCATGTAAACTAGTCTCCCTACCTGTATGCAGGGGAAAGATGTGTAATGGGACAGCCACTTCGTAATTCTTCCTCTTGCAGGGAGGTCCATGCTGTGGTATGGGCAGCCACCATGTAGGAGTCTCTTTCTGGTTTAGTATGAGTAGCTCACTGATCTAGTTTCTAAGCAGTCTCACCTTCTGTGGGGCTGGAACTGGACTAAAGCCCCCAGCCCAATTCAGTATGATGAATAGCCTGGTGTATCCTCGAAGGACAAGGAGTAGATGAAGGGAGCCTTTTTTCTCTCCACCCCCAATGCATCTTGTCACCCCCCTCTCTGCCATCTGTATAAAGATAGTTCAGATTGAAGTCTATATTTTGCTTGGACTATCTCTCGACTGAAGAATGTGATTGGTGAAGCCCTGAGGGTGGGCCAACCTTTGATTGTTTCGCACTTGCACCTCACAGCTGGAGAAGGGGCTTCTAGTGTCCCAGATGCTTGCTTCTCCCCTCCCCACCATGCACACTGGTTTTGTGGTATCTTCCATCCTTTCATTTTGCTTTGTGTATCTTATGTTCCTTTGTGAGTTCCTCTGCATTTTTATGTTCCTTGGTGTTTCAAGTCCAGTCTGTGTCCCCCGAAAATCAAATTGCACTGTAAACTATTTGCTTACCTACAGAGAGATAAAAATTATCTTAAACATGGCACCTGTTTGACTCTCTCTGTCCTATAGGGGGATTATGAACTTGTTTGTGTTACTTCTGTGGGCCTACTGCACGATTTATGTGACTGGAGAGTATGGTTTCTTGGTTTTCTTAGCAACAGGTGGCTTCCCACCTGATTATCTCTGGCAAACTTACCTGGCCTGTGCATTCCCAGTCTTTGATATGCCGTGGATAGAGTTTGTTAAAATGACTGAGGTCACGAGCTTCATAGGATTCGAACATAGGATTAGATACTTATATGAAAAGCTGGAAGATTTACCCAGAATTTCTCAAGTCCTTAACTCAAATAAGTCTTGTTTTTCTTCATTTAAATCATTGTTCTGGAATGGGGCTGGTGATGAGGGGTTCAGTATGCAGGCTGCCCCTGGGGGAGAGGACTACCCCCGCCTTCTCTCACCACAGTAGCTTGGGGCCAGAAGCACCTCTCCATGGCCACTGTAGCTGTAGTAGGTACACTGCAGGGAGGGGTGCATGTCTCCCAGCTGGGGACAAATGGACACACAAACACTCAGACAGACTCTCTGAAATATATAGTAGATAGCTGTCCCTTTCTCCACCCCTGCCAGCCCCCCCCTGCTGGCCCAGTGGGGTTGCAGCTGTTCCTGTCCCCATCTTTAACCCTTTGCTGCCCCCATTGGTCATTCTACAGTATAACTGTCCCTCCTATCAGATCCCCTCCCTTTCCATTTTTTGAGAAACAGTCACATTCTAGGCATATCCCATTGTTCTGGCACAGTCAATCCCTTGTTTTGTTTTAAGTTACAAAAAGAGGAATCTGCATACCAAATTTGGTGGTTCTAGCGCTTACCATTTAGGAGGCATTCTTGAACAAATGGGCTCACAGACAGACTGATACACAGACAAGCAGACAAATTCTCTAAAATATACAGTAGATAAGTATATAGAATCATAGAAATGTAGGGTTAGAAAAGACCTTGAGATGTCCTAAAGTCCACCCACCGTACTGAGCCAGGACCAAGTAAACCTGGACCAACCTTGACAGGTGTTTAGCCAACCTGTTCTTAAATACCTCCACTGATGGGGATTCCACAACTTCCTTGGAAGCCTGTTCCAGAGCTTAATGATCCTTATAGTTAGAGAATTTTTTAAGGATTAACCTAAATTTCCTTGGATGCAGATTAATTCTTTTTGACCTACATTAAGTGGACATGGAGAACAATTGATCACTGTATTCTTTGAAATAATCCTTTACATATTTGAAGACTTATCCAGTCCCCTCTTTGTTTCTTTTCTCAGAAATAAAAATGCCCAGGTTTTTAAACCATTCTTTAGAGGTCAGGTTTTTAAAACCTTCTGTCTTTTCTTAAAAAGTGGCACCCAGACCTGGACTCTGGACTGCAACACAGGCCTCATGCAGTACCATTAGACTGACACAGTTACCTCCTGTGTCTTACCCACAATGCTCCTTTTAATACTTTCCAGAAGATACAAGCCTTTTTCACAATCGCATCTTTGTTGACTCATATTCACTTAGTGATCCACTATACTACCCCGGATCTGCTCCAGCTAAACTTTTGATTTTTGTTGTCCTATCTAATTTGGGGGATATAAATTCTGTGCCTCAGGGTGTGACAATGTACCTATAGTTAGAGAAAAAACGAGAAGTCCTATGCAGTGTTCCCTGTAAGCTGTGTCCTTGCGTGGCCACCCCAGAGAGATTCAAATGTCGTCCAGCTGATTAGCAGAGTGCCCACAGCAGACAACATGTATTTCTACTGATGGTGCATACCCACACATGCTTTGGTGCACATAAAATTTATTCTGCACATGGATAGAAAAAAATAGAGGGAACATTGGTCCTGAGGCACCTTAAAGACTAACACATTTATTTGGGCATAAGCTTTCTTGGTCTGATGGGCTCCAGCCCACGAAAGCTTATGCCCAAATAAATGTTTTAGTTTTTAAGGTGCCCCAAGGCTCCTCATTGTTTTTGCTGAAACAGACTAACCTGGCTACCCCTCTGAAACTTACGGTTAGAGAGAAACCTGTCCTCAGGACAGGGGATTCCAGCATTATCCTTTACGGGATTTCTTACACTTCCTGAAGCAGCTAAGACTGCCCACTGTCACATGCCAGATACTGATGCAGCTGAGCCATATGCAGTTTGATATGGCAGGTCCCTCATTCCAGAGCTGAGAAGCAATTGTCCTGTTTATCACTGGTCAATGAGATTTCATAGGTAAGCTCATGATGTTGCCACAAGAGACCATATCCCAGTTTCCTTCTCATACTGCGTGCAAATTGTACATACAGTACATCTGTGCTGTGAACTCCTTTATGACAGTGGCTCTCAGAATCTGGGACTACAGACTTGGCTTATGGGGCTTTTGCTATGACGCTAAAAATTGCCACTCAGAAGTTCCCACGAGGGTTTGGGAACCCAGTAAGGGGGACATCTCTCAGGAGCATCTACCTGAGACAGGAACATCTATGCGACGTAGTGAGCCCCACAAGTCTGAGTCTGTGGACCTGTGCTCTGAAACTCACTGCCACAGATGTTCTTGCTGGGTAGATATGCCTGCCGAATGCTAGTATTTGTATCTTGGTTTGGTTCTGGCCTCCAGCACTCTCTGATCAGTTGGGCCCTATCATCTCAATTGGCTACAACAGCTCAAACCCAAGTAATGATCCTCTTCCATGCGTGTACATCATTCTCTGGTCCACTATGGTTGCAAACAAGGGGGAAGGCTTGAGAGCTGTTTTCATTTGAAAGGAAAAGACCTTGGTGTGGTCCTTTGGTGAGAACACTGGTACAATCTGAAATGGAAGTAATAATTAACTTTATTGGTGCCTGATTTATTCAGTTGTAATTTCTCCTGACACTTCTTGTTGACATAAGTCTTAGAAAGGGTATTAGAGAAGCAAAGTCCATGCTCACTTTGACCTGTCTCACTTGTAACTTTCAGGCCAGTTACAGTAATTGTGATCTGGACCCAGTGGGATGCCGGGATTAGGGATTCTTTAGAGAGGCGTTTCTGAGTTCCATTAGTGCTCCGCCCCCTGATTATGACTTGTAGACAATTTGTTGTTACACCACAGCTCTGAGACTCCAAGCTGGGAACGGAGCCAAGCCCTTCTCTAGACTGATTTATGTTGGATGGGAGCAATAAAGGTATTTGCCCTTTCATCCTACAGCCTTGGTTAAATGACACGGAGGATTTTGATAGCAAGAAAAGATGGATTGGTTGTAAAATTGGGACCTGCCCTCAAATTTTCATTTAATCTTTGTACTTGGGAAGGGCTGGATCCAAGGCCTGTTGCAATGAATGGGGGTCTTTTTGTTGACTCTAGTGGGCTTTCAATCAGGTTCTGTGAGCAAAGGGTGAAACAAAGGCTGCACCAGCGAAATGTGGCCATTCAAACTGTCTTTATTTCAATCCACTGAGCTCAGTGCTTGAGGCCCAGCGCTGGCCTTTGTGCGTCCCAGTTTCCCCTCTTAAATCAAACACCCAATGTGTTTCTCATCAAACACCGTGTGGTGCATTTTTACTCCCTCATTTGCACACAGGTTAATGCCCATTAGTGCAGACAGACTGTGGCAAGCACAAGGGAAGGATGCTGGTGATTGGGGGGGGGGGGTTCCCAGTTGATTTATTAGAAGCTTATTTTAGAGCTTCCGCAAATTCCAAGGCCAGAAGGACCAGTGTGTCCATCTAGTTTGACCCCCCCTGTATCTCACAGACTAGAAACTTCCCTCCCTCGGCTATCGAAACAGCATGCAGTGGAGTGCCTGTCGCAGGTACAAACAGACGAGCTGATTCCATTTCCTCAGAGAGCAAACAGTGCACTCGATAAAAAGGAGGACCGAGGATTGTCAAATTTTAAGCTAAGTGGTAATTACAGTGCTTCTCTGGGGGTACGTCTACACAGCAACATTATTTCAAAATAACTTAGTCCGCCTCTACCTGGCAGGCAGCTATTTCCAAGTAATATCGAAATACTGTCAAGCTGGAGGACGACTTACTCCGACTCCTGTAACCCTCATTGTACGAGGAGGAAGAGTGCTCTGTTTCGAAATAAGGGCTGTGTAGATGCTCCCAGTAAGCTACACAATTGCTGTTTATTTTGAGTTAAGTGTAGCTTATTTTGAGTTAAGCCCTGCTATGTAGACACCTCCCCCCCAAGTGTTTTTCACTCAGTGGTGCTCCAAATGCCTGCCAGACCATTCACTGAGGGGCACTGAGCTGTTTATGACCTGCCATTGAGAGACACTGAGTGCCCATAGCCCCTCTTGACATCAATTGAAGTTGTGGGTGCCCAGCATTTTTGAAAATTAATCCCAAAGACCCCGATCCTCCAGGGTATTTAGGTACCTTAGGCTGTGTCCACACTTAAAACACTACAGTGGCCCAGCTGACACTTGGATCAGTGGCGGGGGGGGGTTACCAGCCGCTGTAATTAATCTGCCTGCCAGAGAGGAGGTAGCTGGATCAACAGAAGAATTCTTCCCTCAGCCCACGCCAGGGTGAGGATGGCGTAACGTCTCCCAGGGGTGTGAAAAATCTGTGCTGCTGTATGTCTTCTGTGTTGATCAGCCTTAATTTTCATTGAATTCAATGACAGTAAGGACAGGTCTACACTAACAAGTTAGTTCAACCCAGCTACAAACACTCAAGGGTGTGAAAAGTCCACCCCCCGAGTGACACACTTAAATCAGTGTAACCCCTGGTATAGACAGCGGTAGGCTGGGAGAAGAATTCTAGCAACTTTGCTGTTACCTCTCAGGGAAGTGGATTACCTAGGCCGATAGGAAAATCCTTCCTGCCAGCACAGGTACTGTCTATTCAGCAGCACAGATGCAGCAGTGCAGCATTTCAGGCATAGACAAGCCCTTAAAGAACTAAATATCTGAGCATCTGGCCCAAGGTACATACTGAGCGAGTGTCAGAATCAGGAGTCGAATGCTCCTAGATTTGCTCTTGCCGCTACACTGCACCTCATAGATGCTCTTATGAACCTTATATGATCTTATGGGCATTTTTGTTCAACCATGGGGCACCTACTTCAGGTACTTCTGTGACATCATTCTTAGACTGCTATTAGGGTACCTGACCCTTGTCGCTGACTGACACATGGAGGGTAATGATTTCAGAAGTATTTGAGTCTGTGCATCTTGTTGCTCCTCTTATGTTCAGAGGATTGAAGGTGGTGCTGTTTGAAGTCCCATTACTCACCATACAATGTCCTGAAGGCAGTAACCATGTTATACCTATTATTCTCCCCCTAGTTTGTTTCATTGCACAATAAGATATTTTACAGACTGGTCTAGATTGTTTTGATTTTTGGGGAGAAAGGTGCTAGATACCAGCATGTTAAAATCCCTTTTCATCCAAAACTCCTAGAGAAACAGAGCTTAGAGGAGCCAAAGCGAAAATCCAAATGAACATGAGCTGGAAGTATAAGAGTCTTGGTTCCCACGTCTCCATCTGGCTACTGCTGTGTGCAGCTCCATTTCCTATTTCGCTTCTGCCACCGGGTGAGGGAGGGGTGGACCTGGATCAGGATGACATGTAAACCTCCAGGAGCCCCCCGACAGAGTGCATCCTGTAGAACACACCAAGGGGCATGCTGAAGTTCACGATGGCAAACCAGGTGGAGTAACCGTAAAACGACTTCTCCAGCCCGTTCTCAAAGGTGGGGTGCATCCCGAACGCGGGCATGAGCCACAGCTAGAAGGGTAGGAGTAAAGAGCAGAAGTCAGAGGAGGTTAGGGAGTACTATAGCAGGGGGCTTTCAACCTCAACCTCTCCAGACTGCTGTTCCCTTATCAGCAGTCTGATTTGTCTTGTGAACGTCCCGTCCCCAACAAGTGTCACCCCACTTAAAGACTCTGCTTACAAAACCAGACCTAACAATACAGAAGAGTCAGCACACACTGCTACTCACAAATGGCTGACTTTGTCCTTGCTACCATAGAATTATAAAATAAATTAACTGGAATAGAATTACAGCTGGTCCCCAAGTTACGAATGGGTTACGGACTAAACGCTTGTTCATAAGTCGGACCCCATCGAGTTACATTGCGACCACTCTGTTCGTAAGCACGGGTCGCATTCATAACTCGGGGACCGCCTTTACGACCGCTTAATGGGAGGTTTGGTCATAAATGTGAATGGTCGTAAATCGACCATTTGTAACTCGGGGACTGGCTGTATTGTACTTATTAGTGTATAGCATATAGAGGAAGATAAACGAGTCACTGTATTAAATTTTAGTTTATGCTGACTTTGCCAGTGATTTTTATGTGGCCTGTTGTAAAACTAGGCAAATCTCTAGATGAGCTGAGGTAACCCCAAGCAGGGCCGGGTGAAGAAAGGGGCTTTAGGGTGCTGCAGCCCAGGTGCTAGGGTGGGAAGGACACTAATGCCTCTATGTGCTGTATTCTGGGACAGCTCTGCTTGGCAGCGGATGTGTATGTTCCACCCCTCCCCGGAGCCATGTCCCAGCACTGACTGCACCTGCAGGCTCCGCCTCTCCCTCCTGCAGCTCCCATTGGCGATGTTTGGTGACCAATGGAAGCTTTGTGGGGCAGTGCTTGCAAGTGAGTGCGGGCTGCATGGAGCCACTTGTCCACCCCACCCAAACAGGATCTGCCCCAAGGAGGAACTCTGTACCTTAACTCCTTGCCCCAGGCCCCTTCTGCACCCTAAATCCCTCCCAGACCCCACACCCTAACCCTGAGCCCACTCTGGCACCCAAGTTCCTGGCCAGATCCCTACCCCAATCTCTTGCACTGAGCCTCCCCTCCCACACTCCAAATCCCTCGTCTGCAGCCTAGAGCCCCCTTGATCCAAAATACCTCATCCCCAAAGGAGTTAATCTGGGCTTGCCCTCTAGAAGTCCCGAATACTTCCACTGGTACATGTTTCCCTAGTTGAGAACCACTGTCTCGCTCCCTATATATTCAGCATATTCCATGGCACTAGGTATCCTCAAAAGCCTGTGGTGCTGAATGGATGCAGGGCTGGCTGAGGTAACCATTGGGTACCTCTGGTGAATGGGAGCAAGTCACTAGCTGATGACATCTTGGAGGGATGTTTCCTCCCTTTACATTCCTGCAGTTTCTGCCAATAAAACCCTGTCTCTAATAGAACCCCATCTGGAGACCCTGTAACAACAGAGTTGCCCCCATAGCTGGGTTCAGCTTTTGTCATGTGGCTGGTGGGAGGAACTTGGAAAATGTGGCATTTTTCATGGCTATTTTGCGTGTCTCCATTTCCCTGTTGCACGGTGTCCTCCTCCTGCTCCTCCACACTTGAGTCTCCATAACACTGGGTGGTTTTCCTCCTCTCTGGGCTCCTTCTCTCTCTCCACCCTCCCTCAGGGCAGAGCCCCAATCAGCTTCATCTGGCCCTTAATTGATTTGCAGCTGCCCCTTCTCAGCTGCCCCTAATTAGCCAGGATTGCTGCTGTTTCCTCAGCTAGAGCAGCCTTTCTCCCCTTCCCCCAAGTCCTTTAACCTGCTCTGTCACAACACCTAATGTGTCTAATAACTTCTAATCTACCTAAAGTCGGGGCATTTGAGGGTTTTTTAGCTGCCTATGTTCCATGACCCCCGTTCCTGCCCAGTGCAGAAAATGCAGCCACTCATTATTTAGTCATGATTAGCTTTAAAAATATATTTTAGGGTCAAGGAGCAAGATGTTAACTGGACACCTTGTCTGCGTTGCAGCACAGGCCTCAGTGCTGGCTTACTAGTAAGAGTTGACTATCAGGCCAAGGAAATGTTGATTTTAATGGTCTTTGGAAGGATGGATAGCTCAAAGGAAAAAGAAAAAGGAGTGGGCAGGGGTGAGAGAGCCAAGGTAGAGCCAAGGTGTTCTCTGTTTATACCCATTCTCATTGGGCTTGGGATGTAGGGAAGGAAGCTCAAGAGAGATACTCACTATGATGTTGCACAAAACCAAGAAGATGGAGATCTCCTTCAGGGCTTTCCTCTTCCAGTTCAGGTGGCTGTAGGTATTGATGTAGGTTTGCGAAACCCTCCTGATCTGTTCTATCTCTAGAGGGTAAACTCTTCTGGGGTCACCGTCTTCACACTTCTCACCTTCTTTTGCCTCAGTCTCTTTGTCACCAGGGGGCAGTGTGGGCTCCTGGCTGGTGTGTGACATGGTTGCCTCTTCACTGGGTGGGTCTGAGTCCTGTGGGGGAGCCTCAGCAGGGCTGGCCTCAGGCTTCTCCACCAAAGGCTGCCTGTGAAGCCCCTCGATAATGAAGATGTTCTGGGTGATGTGCTGAATGATGAGGCTGACTCCATAGGTCAGGATGAGTCTGTCCACCAGACCTCTGCTGTTGGTGGCCACAATGGCAACAATGGAGAAGTAAGAAATGCCAATCTGGCCCAGGGCTGCTCCCATCAGCAGGACCACGTCCAGGCTTCGGGTTGGGTTTTTCACAGTGTCTAGTTCGCGCTCTTCCAAGCCATGGATGACTGTCCCAGCCAAGGCCCCCATGCTCATCACCGGCAGCAGCGCGATGTAGTAGGAGTAATACAGCACAAAGACCTGCCTCGGCCCTGAGCTGGTGACCTGGATCTGGTAGGCCATGAAGACACAGATCCCAATGAACATGGCAGCTATGCCCAGCACCAGCCCAACGATGACTCCCCGGAGCTTGAACTTGGGCCTAGCATGAATGGTCTGGTGGGGAGGGATGCGCCTGCCCACGTTCTTCCACATGACGTACAGCATGGAGCTGCTGATGAGGCAGTATTCCGGGTTGAAGGGGTACAGCAAGATGTAGCCTTTCTGGAAGATGAAGCAGGCTGTTGTGTTTGGGCACCTGCATGGGCTGGTCTCGTTGCCTGTAGTGGGAGGAGAGGAGAGTGAGTCACTTGGGAGCCACAAGCAGCCGGGGAGGGTTTTTTAAGTATTTCCTGGCTACCTGCTCTGAAGTCCTATGTACCTGCCTGCCCCTGAAAGGCCAATGATAGGCATAAAGCCAAGTGAGCCTCAAGACTGGGCAAGGAGGGGGTGGTGTCATAATAATAATACATAGCCCTTCCCATGTTCTAAGTGCTCTACAAACGCTAATTAAGCATCACTCTCAGTCCACCCAAAAAGGGGTAAGTTATAAGAACATAAGAACGGCCATACTGGGTCAGACCAAAGGTCCATCTAGCCCAGTATCCTGTCTTCTGACAGTGGCCAATGCCAGATGCCCCAGACGGAATGAACACAACAGGTAATTCTGACATGATCCCTCTCCTGTCATCCATTTCCAGGCAAACAGAGGCTAAGGATACCATTCCTACCCATCCTAGCTAATAGCCATTGATGGACCTAACCTCCCTGAATTTATGTAGCTCTTTTCTGACCCCTGTTAAAATCCTAGTCTTCACAACATCCTCTGGCAAGGAGTTCCACAGGTTGACTATGCGCTGGGTGAAGAAAAACTTCCTTTTGTTTGTTTTAAACCTGCCACCTATTATTAATCTTTCCATTTCTACATTACACAGACAGGTGATGTCAAGGCCACGCAGCCTGCCAATGGCAAAGCCAGGGTCAGTGCTAAGACTTTCCTGCTCAATCCACTAAACTCTCTTTACATGCATCAGGGAGACTAAGACCACTGGTAAAGGTCTAAAACATCTGCCAGAGGGGTTGAAGTTTCTGATGTCATGTTGAATTTAGGCCTCGTCCACACTAACTGCTGCCATTGATCTAACCTACGTCCCTTCAGCTCCACAAATAGAATAGCTGAAGTCGACGTACTGTCTGTCGTGTTTTGTGTCCAGTAAGGTTGGCAGGGGCTGCTCTCCTGTCAATGTCGGCTACTCTTCTCATCCTAGTGGAATACCGATGTCAACGGGATAGCAGTTGGAAATTGATTTATTGTGTCTAAGCAAGCATGATAAATCGATGGCCAGTGGATTGATTGCTGCAGCATCAATCCCCGGCATAGTGGAGACAAGCCTATAGTCATGACGGGAACCAATGGGGATATTCTCTCTCTTTCTGGAAGGGGAGACTGGACCTGGTCCCTGACCATGACTACGTGTAGATCTTGACGTGTGTGTAATACATGTTCTTTTTCCTTCCCTAGCTTCCCAGGAGAGCTCTTTAACTCCAAAGTTTAGTGGCTATATACCTTTCCAGGTAAATCAGCTCATTCCAAACAATCCAAACTGCTTTATGGATCATCCAAAAAAACCCCCCCTAGATTTCCACCAACCTGCAATTCAGCAAAACTTCCTCTTTCCCCAGAAAAAACAGGTATCTGCTCCTTGTGCTTTAGTGAAGCCACACATCCCAGTGGGGATGATTCAGAAACCTGCATGCCTGTGGCCACAGGCCATTGCTGACCTCACGGGCTCTGTCTACTTGTTGCTATTAAGACGCAGTTGAAGAATGAGCCGTACCTAGAAAATTCTGCACGAGACCTTTGAGTGCAGATTCAATTTCCCTGTGAACAGAGTCATTGGTCACGGCTAACAGCCAAAGGAGGAGATCCGTGGCCATGGTCAGCATCAGCCCACATCTGTAAAAGGGGAAGAACAGTTTTACAACGTGTCACTCAAGAGAGCCCTCAGCTGTTTGGCTATCTGGAGCCCACACATTCTTCAACTTGTATGATGCCACCTGGACTCTCATGGGGGTGTGCATGCACACCTGTGCTTATGCCTACCCTTGTGCATGCACACTTATGTATTTGCACACACAAGCACACCCGTTCCTGCACAGTGATATCCGTTCCCACTTGCAGTAATTTGCACAGGGTCTCATGAGAACTAGATTTGTAGAAGAACTCAGAAAATAGTGTACAGCCGGGCAACAGGCCCATTCAGGCTTGGAGGTGTCCTAGGAGTGTGTCGTGGCCAGGAGAAAGCTAGCTAAATCATGTTGACGTAAAGAGAATGGACAAGTCAAAACTTCGTGCCTCAGCAACTTCATGCAGTAGGAAGATTCTCAAGGCTGGGAATTGGTTTGTAAAATCTCGTATCCTTTAAAGATGAATTGTCAATTCCCCTGAGCAGGAAAAGAACTCCACTGACCCGCAGCGATGGCATGGATATCGCAGGGGTGGGCAATAATTTTTTACTGGGGGCCACTTCAGAAATTTTTGAAGTGGCCCCGGGTTGCCCTGCTTCTCCACCCACAGACCATGTTTGATCTCGCGGTGGGGCAGCCAGTGAAATCTTTGCCCCTGCCCCGAGGTTCCCCCTCGGCACCCATGCCCCTGGAGGTGGGAGGAGATTTTGTGTGCGCCCCATTCTGCACCCAGGTCAATCAGGGCTTGGGGGCGGGGGAGCACGTGAAGTCTCCTCCCGCCCTGCCAGGAGCACGTGGTGCTTCTAAGCACCGCACTCACCTTTCAGGGCAGGAGCAGAGCAGAGGAAACTTCATGTGCTTCCCCCCAGCCCCTGATTGGCCAGGGCGGGGGGAGTGGCAGGGTCTCCGTGGGCTGGATCAACCCACTTGGCGGGCCGGATCCAGCCAGAGGCCCTTTAGCCCACCCCTGCTCTATCATAATCTGAAACCTTCACGCTGACTAGGTCACTATCCTCCACTGAGGACAATCAAGAGGCCCGGAGATGGGATTAGGAAATGAAACGGTTGATGCCACACGGACCAAACAGGAAGTTGGCTCAGAGAAGGCAAATCCCATCTGAAGTCTGTTTGAAAGGGGACTGATTGATCTGCCCTGCGTTAAATATAAAACCCTTCTATTTCAACCTACAAAGATCTTTAAAGCTGAAATGTGTGTTAGAAGGAGCCTGGTGGAAGGCTGCCGAGGAAGGGAAAGTGGAGTCGGAAAGGTCTGGCATGGGAGTGTTCAAAGCAACGTGAAGGGTTCTTAAATAAGGCTCCTCCTTCTCTCATCCTACCTGGTCAGGTTGTGCTGGACTTGGGTACAGTCCTTACAGTGGCGCCATATAAGGTACGTCTGAAAGCAACAGAAACAATCACGTGACCCTATTGCAAACTGCTCACAGGTGTGTGTGTGTGTGTGTGTGTGCGCAACAGAACAATCACATGAATCTATTGCAAACCCGGTCATGGGTGTGTGCATGCGCGTGCACAGCCTGTGCGAATGCAGTCGTTGAGGGGCAGCACGTGCCACTCTGGGAATGGATGCAGGCGTCCTTGAGTTTAGGGGTGCATGTGCATCCGTTTAGCAGCACCTGCGTGTGGGCAAACCTGTACTGTCTAAAGTGCAGCCAGCTGCTTGACATTTGCGGTTTGATATGGAAAATAATCTCCGGTCTCTTGGATAGCCAAGTGTAGCCATGGAACGTGCCTGGACAGAGCAGCAGTCCGAGAAGGCGGCGCACCTTCTGCCTGCTCTCTCCAGAAGGCACCTCTCTAGCAGCCTGCAGCTCCCCTTACACAGAAGGGGTGCTCTGAAGTTGGCATTGAAATCGGCCGTGCTCACCGTATGGTGGTTTACAAGCTAAAAGCACTTTGGCAGATTTGGGTGACGTATTTAATCAGCTTGTTGTTCTGTTTTAATTTGTTCCTGCCTTATCTTTTGTTTAGGATCCCACATTCCAAATGCTGGGAGGGGCCATGAACTCACAACACCGCCTGTACTAGGACGTGCCGTTCGGACAGCTTGTCTTTCACAGGTTTCCTATCCGTGGGAGCCAAAGGGGCTGCGTAGATTAGCAGTGTATAGTGGGACGGAGAGATACCATGACAGAAGTGATGAGAATGAGAGTCAGAGAGCAGAACTACCCAACATTAGCATTTAATATGATGTGCCATATAAATGCCACGTGCATAATACCTGTTTAACGTGTAGGAGAAACACGTATGGCTCCCTCTACAACAGGGTTGGGGAGCCTATGGCCCGGGATCTGGATCCAATCCCTGGCTTGTCTGGATCTAGCCCCTGAGGCTCAGGGCTCCCCCCCAGCATTGGGAAACTGGGTGCTGGCACTCCCACCCTGTGGCCCCTCCCACCCCCAGCCCACTCCTGCACCCTCCCATCTTCCCAGATCCACCAGTCCCCACACTCCAAGCCTGCTTCCTGGCAGCCCTCTCCCCCACACTGAACCCCTTGTTTTTGGCCTGATTCCAGAGCCCAGGGAGCCCCACAAAATCTACTCCCCTGGGCCCCCCAGGCTCTGCTGTGCAAGGGGAATGTGGGGAGAGTCTGCGTCTCAGCTGGGGGCCACGTCGGTGAATTTTTTTGGTTTTTGGGATTTTTGCTTCTCACTTTTGCATGGCCCCTCACCTATTTTTCTGAGAGTCAGTGGCCCCCGACCCAAAAAAGGTTCCCCACCCCTGCTCTACACTATACGCCGGTGAAAGCCGGGCTGCGTCTACACTAGTGCGTAGCTACACTTGTTCATGGAACACTCTGGTGGGAGAATGGGGGGGAACAGTGGGAAAAAAGGTTCGGTAGCTCCCTGCTCTCAGAGTCTGCATTGTGGCGCGGGAGAGCTCTGGCAAGGGGAAGCAACCGGTCAGAGCCTTACCCCGCCACCAGAGCCTTTCTCCACACTGCACCGCAGTTGGAAGCTGCTCTAGCTTTGCCGCACTCTTGAGAGTGGCGGCCCCCAGGGTGGCAAGCAAGGCTGTGGGAGGGGGAGATGCATTCCAGCAGGGGGAGTCAGGAGACATGTGGGAGGAGGGAATGCACAGAAATCCCTGCCCACCCCCCATCCCCGCTGGGCCCTTCCAGAGGGGGTGCCCACTGACCCACCAGAAGGATCTGAGGACTGGCCCAGGGTCAGAGGGATGTCCTACTTTCATAGACTCATAGAATCCTAGGGCTGGAAGAGACCTCAGGAGCCATCGAGTCCAACTTTACAGAACTTGTGGTTGCAAAGCGTTTTAAATCATGTAACCATGCCACTGGTGTTGCCATTGGGGTCGGACAATTGCAAATGGAGAGAAATCCCCATTTCAACAAAAGCTTCCTGCAGGACATCGGTACAGAGATGAAGCTGCTGACGGGGTAGGGGGTTGGGGTAAAACAGCTTTTCACTTGTCTCTGGAGCTTTATTGACTTCGCAGAAGGAAGCAGGGGAACTTCTGCATCATTCCTGACAGATTTACTGTCTTTTATCGCAGTAGCAATGTCCTTTTTACATTTATGTCTTCGTGTCCTGTTTGTGGTGAATTTTGGTTTGGTATTTAAAACAGTAACTGCTACTAAAAATATCTTTAATGAGCACCCCCTGCCTCTGCTCTTCCTCTCTCCCCTCCCTCCCTGCATGTGGTGGCCAGGGCGGCCTGGGTTCCAGAGCCGATGACATTCCATACCTGAATGCAAATGAAGATGATATCTATGCATGGGAACAGGATTTCCAGCTGGGATTTGCAGTGTCTGCGGCTGCCGTCGTATCCGATCCAGAACACACTGAGGAGGATGCTGCAGGCACCAAATAACACTAGTGACCCTGTCCAAAGAGCAAAACCATCAGTGAATCCAGCAAGCCAGGATCTGGCTCTAGAGAAGCCTGCATGGAGTGAACCGAAACTGGTGAAAGTTTAGTAAACATCACATGTCTCCTGCTTCTGTGCTTCCTGCGCTCTGTGGTTTCAGGTGGAGGGAGCTGAATTCAAATCCTGGAACCCGGTGCCCTGAAATTTGGGAGAATCTGGGAACCTCATGATTGTTTGGGGAGTGGGGAGGGGAGCCCTGAGTCACAGTTTTAGACCATTTGGGTGTGTCAGTGCTGGCTCTGTCTCTAATTAAAGATACTGGGGCCAAACAGAAAATTGATGATGCCCACTGTGATGTAGCATTGGTGCCTTGCTGGTTGCTAGGCTGGGGCTGGGGGTGACCCCCACTGGCTGGTGGAGTCTGTTCGTGCCATTACGGGGGTGCAGGCATTGGGGGAACCCCGACACGCTGCCACACCCACAACCCAACATCATTTGACTGGAGTGTGGGCTCCAGGGGTAAGAGCTTTAGAAGGCAGGAGGGGGCTCCGGCTTTGGGGGTGTCCGGGCTGAGGCAGGAGGGGCTTAACTTGAGTGGCTCCCACTCAGTGGTGCAGTGGGGGAGCTAATGCAGCTTCCTGCCTCTTCTGGCACCACAGACCATGCTGCACCCCAGAAGCAAGTTCCCAATGGGAGTGTGGAGCTAGTGCTCGGGGCAGGGGCAGTGCACGGAGCCCTTTGCGCTTCCCCCCACCTCCCAGGAAGCAGGCCTATTGCTGGCTGCTTCTGGGGCCCAGTGCAGTCTGTGGTACAGGACAAGCTGCCTTAGCATCCCCACTGGCGACTTGATCCTCCCACAGCAATGAGACCCAGGGCCCAACATCCCACAGCCCAGACCGTTTGAAAACGTGTGTGCAAAGTGGTTTGTGTGCCAGGCACTGAGCAAGGGAAAGCAGACGCATGCAGCACTCACCCTGCACCCAGAGGGGCCCAGCATGGGAGTCCCTGTACAGCACCGCATGGGGCTTCCTGCTGGTACACAGCAAGTAGTAGACCATCCAGCAGAGAGACAGGATCTTGAGGATGGAGAGGAGGATACAGACGTCACGCAAGGTAATCGCCACCCTGTTAAAAATCATGCTGCTTATGAAGGCGCAGCCCAGAAACACCACGTTCATGGCCAGCAGCCCCGAGAACAGCTGTCCGCCCTTCCGAGCCTGCCTGTCACTGTGCAGGAGCGAGGAGCAGCGCCGATGCAGCCAGGACTTCTCGTAGCGGATCTTCCAGGATTTGGGCGCTGCAGATGCTGCCTCTTCACCCTCTGTGTCCTGGTTAAGGTGCCTCTGCCGGGCGGCTTCCTTGCCAGCCATGTCTCAGCGGCCAGCCTTTCCTGCTGTCTGGTGGGAAGAGGAATCCACGCTGGAACCCCCTGTGACACTGAACAAATGGGGATTAATTAATAAGATCACCTGGAAAGGGTGCGAGGATTTACACACTGAGCCACGTGGCTTCACATGGAGCTAAAGCTACGTGTGAGATGAGTTTGGTGGTCTCAGCTTAGTCCCTGGCACAATTGCTGTCCATAAACCCTCCCAGGACAAGCCTTGAGCACCAGAAAAACAAGTGTCCCTGGGGACCCTGCTCCTTTGGGGCCTCCACCTGTTGTACATGCTGTGTAGTCGCAGGTGGATTTCATCTTTCCTCTCCGGCAGCTGGATCAGAGAAGGAAATGGCTCACTGCCAAACCCCCCTCAGCTATAATAGGGTCAGATGCTAAAAGTGGCCTCATCCTTACCAGCAAAGATCCCCCCAGAATGCTGGAAGGAGCTGAAAACAGATGCCTGGTTAAAAACACTTTGGCGTGTGTCTCACGTTATCCGTTACAGTCTGTGTACATGATCCAGGCCTTGTGTCATGGCTGGGTGCTCTCACGTGACCATCAGGTGTGTGTGGAAGACTTGTAAGGCCGGCTGACGTTCCCATCCTGCTCTCCTCCCTTCTTCTTCATCCAGCTCTGCATCCAGGTTTCCAGCATGTCTCACGATAATCATCTAGATCGGCTACAACATCCGGATCTGGATCTGAATCTGAGCTCCCCCTCTAACGTTCAGGGTTGTTCGATTTCGGTGGAGGCCCGTCTCTACTAACAATTGCACCATCCTCTTCTTGGAACTGGGACTTCCAAAGACATGTGAGACTGGCCCCAGCCTGCTCCAGTTTGTCAGCAAAGGCTCCTCCTGACAGTCCTCTCCCCAGTCCCACTGCCAGGTGATGTGTCAAAAAGGGGGCAGAGCTGGAAAGCTCTATTTACTCTTTCCACAAAGGGCAGTGGGAAATGGTAGAGCAAATACCTGGAGCTTGTCCCTAGGAGATGGTAGATTTTAAAGAGACGGGGCCAGATTAGCCCCTGCAGGTGTGAGCGCACCCTGACTTTGGGGTGCTTTTCACTTTGGACCTAGCTGTAGTTTGCAGTAAGGACCCTGGGGCAGGGACAGTGCAGTCAGTAAATAGGATTTGGGTTTAACAGGGATCTTAGCTCTCGAGGGCTAAGAAAATGTGCTGTTCAAAGCCTTGAGCGATGCTGCCAGACCCAGCATGTCTTGCCCTGTGAGTGGGACAATACATGTGAAAAATCTCTTCCAAGCAATGGGCCAAAGCTGATTCATTCCACGGTTCCGGGAGGTTTGACGACACCAGAGGAAAGGGCAGGAGGTTGCTCACTAGGCAAATCCCATTCTGGTTGAAAGGGATCCACAGCTTTAGAAAGAAAAACCCAACCCCTCACTTTTTCAGGGGGTGAAAATCCCAGAACCTCCCAGTCCCCACTTTGTCAGCGTGGCGATAAATCCCCCAGCTTTGGGGCGGACGTGGTGCCAGACCCAGGCCGCCTCTAGAAGAGCCCAGTTTCAGCAGCTGGTGCTAATCCCATCTTGGCTCCTTTGGGGGATGATCAGAGAGGGAGGGGTCTAGGTTGGGGGGGGGCAGTATTAGAGAGAGTCAGGGCAGAGTTGCTTCCGAACTGCAGCTACTTCCAGAATAACAGTAACAAAATCCATTCACCCTGTTGGAGGGAATCCCAAAGCCAGCTGGAAAGGGACCCTGCAGGAAGCATAGGGCCATGCCCAGCCTTTCCCCCATCCCCAGGAGTGACCCAGAGCCAAGAGAAGACGAGAAGAGGCGTCTGTACCAGCCAGAGCTCCCTGAACCCTCCTTACCTCCACTTGGGCCCCTCAGATCCGTGGGGTGGGAACAGCAACTGGTGGGGCCCGTTTTACGCTGTCCAGGTGCGCAATGCTAAAATCCCCCCCGTGGATGACAGTCGTTCGGGCCTGGCTCTCTCCAGGAGTCTCTGAAGAGCCGTGGCAGGCAGACAAGAGCTGCCAACGGGAAAGTGTAACCTGGGCTCTCACGGCGCATTGATTTTTGCCTGTTTACTTTTGGAATATTATTGTCATTATATTAATGACCTCGCTGAGAGGCTCATTAGCTCAGCAGATGGCAGCCAATGGAAAGCAACCCTCTTGCACACCTGCCTGGCCAGCCCATGTTAACAGCTTGTCAGTTCTCTGCCCAGGATGTGCTGACTGGTGGAAACCGCAGGCAAGCCATAGTGACTAATGCCTTTTGAAGGGCTGCGGTGTCTGAAAGCCACTTCCCCCCTCTCCGGTGCACTCGAGGCAGCCCCAGGCGGGGGATGATGGGCGAGCTGGATTGGCTAAAACAACCTGAACTTTCACCCTGCTCTCAGAAGGAACTCAGCTGGCCTGGTTTGGACGCTCAGAACAAAGACTGGATCTCTTTGCACCCCACTCCCATTTTGGGGGGAGGGGAGTTGGAAGCCAGGGCCAATGTGCTACGCGTCTTAGCTGAGTTTGTGTTCTCTGAAACGCCCAGGCTGAGGCATGGGGTGCAGAGGCAGGGGCGAGACTTGCGGAGAGATGCCATCAAGAATCGAAACGTCAAGCACTGCATCTCTTGGGTTGTCGCTTTTACTGTCTGCTTGAGTCACAGTGTCCCTGGCAAAAATCTCATAAGAAAAGGAAGGAAGGGCCAGGGGGAGGGGAGGTGTGAGATGCAGAGGACTGCCCTGGATCAGACACAGGCTCAGGCCCAGAATGCAGGTAGCAGGCATTATTTATTTGTCAAAAAGTCAAGAGTGGAAAGTGTCCCGAAGTTTGGTCCTAGGAGAGAATTTAAGAGGATATTGCATGTTCTAAAGCATCATGGTTCACAGCATAAGCCAGTATGTCCCCTATCAACAGATTATTTCATATCTATCTACTACACAGTTTCCTACATCTACCCCTGAAGCATCTGGTACTGGCCACGGCCAGGGCAGGGTATAGGGCTACATGGACCGCTGGCTGGCTTGGTCTGACATGTCTTATGTGTGTGGGCAGTCACACTTTTAGACAGGAAATCAAACTTCTTTCCTAATGGCCATTTTAGAGCAGAGCAGGCCACCGGGCTACCCCAGGATGCTATTTGGTAGCCTGTCTATTTAGGATAATAACTAACCTGGAACCTTCTTCCCGGAGCATTTGGTGCAAAACTGGGAGACCTGCCCTCCTGTGGAATTTAAAACCACAGGCTTAGGGTTTCTGTACCTGAGTCTGGTCTCTCTTGAGCAGGGAGAGGGGAAGTGGGTTTACTGCAATCCTAGATTCTACCATCAGAGATCCAAATCCCAGCCTGCCTGCAGCTTTGGGGAAATCTGAATAGGGATCTGAACTGGGGGGAGAGGGGTGGAGTCAGCAGCTCAAAAAGACCAGATCAGCTCCCCAGATCTGAGCCTGCTTCAGGGAAGGAAAATAAATATTATTATTATTATTATTATTATTCCTCTGAGGAATAATCATTTGAAGTTAAAAAAAAATCTACGTTATTCAAAAGAGTTTCAAGAAACTGAAGTGCAGGGAGTTTACAAACCTTGCTTGTTTCTCTTTGCTTAACCCTGAGATTCTGGCATGGTATATGCAGGCCTGGGGGAATTCTGCAATTTTACTATTGCTCCAAATGCAACAAAACTGCAGAATTCTCCCATACTATAAACATTTCAGAAAAGCACATCCCTTCAACTATATCCCTTCTAGATTTCTAGCACATTGATTCAAGTTCAATAGATACAAACCAAGGTTAAACCAATGTAAGTCAATCCTGGGGTTTATGCCGGATTAACTCGTTCCGTTTTTAAATCACTGTGTGTTTAAATGTGCAGTTTTCTTATCTGCAGCATCCTGATTCACAGCTTTATTGGTGCACTCAGCGTGAGTATCTGCACAGGCCAACCATAAATCAGGGGCACTGGGGTAGGAGGCCAAGCTCTTGTGTTTGTCCAGGAGGGTTCTGCGGCATGCCACACTCCAGAGTACAGGTCCGCACCCTTCCGCACCACAGATAACATCCTAGGGTGATGTCGCAGTGTGGAACTAGCTGGCAGTTGCAGTGGTGGTGTGATAAGGTGATGGAGTTGCCCTTCTTCCCTCCCAGCTGGCCCTTAACAAGAACCAAGCTCTACCCAACACCTCCTGCCCCATCTGCCCACAAGCAAGCAGCCAACCTGCTTTCCCCACCCCTCAGCAAAGACCCAACCTGATCTCTCTCCCAGCACCTGCAGCTGAATCCACCCTTGCCCAGCCACCGGTGAACTCCCCTCTCAGCAAACATCCAACCCCTCCACCCTCAGCCCTCAACAAACACCCTGCCATGACCCCCGTCTCCCTGCCTTCCAGCCTGACAGCCTCCCTCTCCTTGCTCACAATGAGCAGCCGACCTCAGCCCTCTCCCACAGCCACAGACTTCCCTGGGCACATCTCCCACCTGGCTGCTGTGTCGCCAGGTGATTGTCGCCCCTTCCCTGCCACCGCTTTGACCAAATCAAATCCAGGGCACGGGTCAGGGAAGAGGGGCAGTTTCTCTGTATCCACAGCACCATGACTCAGGACCAGCCCTAATTGCAACTTTTCCTTTCCCTGTTGTTCACCTTCCATAAAGTGATTTCTTATCTCCAGCTGTTTGTTTGATTAGTTCCCTTCCCGTGTTCTTAAATGGTGAAAGGTCCTGGCTTTTGGGCGTTGGATGGCTCAGGCCTCGGGTTGCCAGATGGTTTCAACAAAAATACTGGACACACTTGACAGTACATCACAATCTACGTTACATCTTATTTAGAAAATACCGGACAATTATGTTTTCTCATTAATAATTTGTTTCCCGAACAGAAAGCTCAAATACTGGTCTGTCCAGTTCAAAACCGGATACCTGGCAACCCTACTCAGGCCCAAGAGACTCAGTCCTCTCTTGACACCTGGATTTGGATTAGGCCCAGGTGGCCCTTTCAGATTGGGGTAGAGTTAGGCTGAAGCAAAAACCCAACTCAATGTCGGGACAGGGCGTTCACGGGTGCTTGGAGCTTGGTTTGGCTTGGGGATGGGCAAGGATCCAGCTGTGAAATCTAGATCCAAATATCACCAAAACGTACATGCTCCTCAATCCAGATTCAGGCTAAATTGTGGCCTCCTTCTCAGCGGCGCTGAGCTTCCCCAAATCCTCCTGACACCAATGCTCAGCAGCACTGAAAACCAGGCTCCTTTTATGTAGGTTCCTAACTCTGCAGTTAGGAACCAAGCTATAGGAGTGAGGTTCCAGCAGTGTTCCTGTTCTCAGGCAGCTCTCAAGTGGCTTGGTTTGCGTCCCTTGCAGATGTTCAGTTATTGCCTCTCTGTGCCTCCAGGAGCAGCAGCCTCTCATGCTGATCTGATTTCTGTTCGTTTCCAAATGACTGTAATTTGAGATACCATGAAAGACAGGCTGGTCCACAGCAATGTTCCCTCTATTTTTTCCATGTGCAGAATACATTTTGTAATTTACACTCAGGCATGTGTGGATGTGCACCTGTTATAGACACATGTGCTGCCAGATGTGGGTTCTCTGCTAAATCAGCTGGGTGGTATTTGAATCTCTCCTGCGTGGCCACCCAAGTGCTCGGCTTACAGGGAACACTGGACCAGAGGTTATGATGCTGGTCAGGAGACCTAGGTTTAATTCTCTGCCCTGCCACAGACTTCCTGTGTGATCTTAATTGGTCTCTTAACCTCTTTGTGCCTCAGTTTCCCTTCTGTAAAATAATGTTAGTAGTATTGCTTTACTTCACAGCTATGGCCTGAGAAGAAAGAAACAAATCAGAGAGCCACACTGTTTCATTTCAAAACTGTCAGAATGAAATGTTTTGACTTTTTCAGATTTTTTTTTTTTTTCTGCTGAAAGAATCTGTCAAATTTGACACACATTCATGAAAATGTTTTGGGCAACCCAACCCTGCATTTTTGGTAGAAAATCAAGATGTGTGGGAAACATTTTGCCCAGCTCATTCAAGAAAGCTCATTCAAGAGCCATTGGTTAGAGTTCTGATGCTCTGGCTTGAACCTCTGCAGACTAACCAGGTTCTGTGCAGCAGTCCAAGCCTGGGAAACTTCAGAAACATAGTCAAGAAGGTTTAAAAAGACAAGACACTTGGTCAAGGCATAGGACAGTTGTGAGCGCAGTTGTGACCCAGGTGCCCAGAGATTCTGGCGTAAGATAGGCTGCCAAGTGCCTACGACTGTAACTAAGATAGACGTGTAGATCTTCTGTTGTTTTAAAACCCCTTTTTTCTTACATTCAACTTTGAACGTGTGGTTAAAAATCAATACATTTGTTTTAAGGCTATACCCCATTGAGGGCGACTTTCTGAAGGGAAGAAATGCAAGTGCCTAACTCAGTTGGACCTGTTGGGTATGTGCGGTTGATATACAGGGTTCTGTAACCCAAAGAGAGGGGAAGGCCTGATACATGTAGGGATGGACTAAGAGAGATCAGAGTTGTAGGTAGTCCTGTAGCCATAACAAAAGGTAACACAAGAAGGAAAGTATATACAATCAGGAAAGTAAAATTTGCCAGCGGGAGTAACTTAAGAGTCTGTCTTGATTTTTTAGTCCAGCTAGTTCACAATTCATTCACTTGTTCCTCTTGCAGGTTTAATTTCTGATGAGCTGGTCTTAAAAAAAACTATTAATGGACTAATGATGGGGAGATCCCCCGCTAGCCTGCTAGCTTAATGATCTAGTAAAGGATCTGCATTGAAAACAGAGCGACCAATGAATTTATTTTCACTGTGAGCAGGTAGGTTCCATGTTGCAAGTCGCTGGGAAAATATGGCACCCCTACCCCCCAGGGAACTGTGATATCGCATTGTATAGAGTCTGGACATACACAAGAGAGGTGCCCAAAAGAGGAAGAATAGTCAGAAATTTGGTCACCATTCCTAAAAAACTCCAGTGGAAGGGAGCTCCCCAGCCAGCAAACCGGAATGTTTAGCCAGGTTCTTTGAATATTAGCCTGATCCGAATAAGTAATGTACGATGGAAGTAGCACAGATTGAACCTCTCTGGTCCGGCACCCTTGGAACCTGATGAGTGCCAAACCAGAGAATTTGCTGAATCATGAGAGGTCAATATTGCAGTGAGTGGGTCTCTTTTTATTTTATTTTTCACTGAGCTGAATAAACAGAAAAATCTTGCAATACTGCTTAATAGTGTACGACTGTAGTGATACACCCTATAATAGCCTATACTTAACCCTAGCTTATCAGCTCTCTTTATAACAAAGTGTGAGCATTGTTACACAATTTTATTGTATTGGCACAAGGAAATAACTAGATAAAGCATAAAAAAATACTTATGTTTAGCGGCATTACTAATACTTCCACTGCTAGCTGGACTCTTAGAAGAAATTTAGGAGCTAAAGAGAACACAGAACACTGAAAGCCAGGACTGGGGGCTGTAAACAAACTTTATAGAACTGCGGGAAACCTGCAATAAGCGGATAACTGACTAACTAAACTCATGCCGGATTATGTATGTTGCCCACCCTGAGACTGCTGGATTAGAGAGGTTCAACCTATAGACTAACATTTGAGTGTAATTTTGTCTTAACAACAACAAAAGGTCTCAGAGGTGTAGATAGCTGTGTTAGTCTGTAACTTTAAAAACAAGAAGTCCTGTGGCACCCGAGAGACTAACAAATATATCATGAGCTTTTATGGGTAAAACCCACTTCATCAGATGAGTTGGAGTGGAAATTACAGAAACCAGGTTATATATAACAGCAAAAGCAGTTAGTTACCTGTCAAGTGTAGAATCAGTGTTAATGAAGTTAATTGAGTCAGGCTGGATGAAAAGCAACCAATGGCTGGAAGTTAAAGCCAAACACATTCAAATTTGAAATGAGACACAGTTAACCAGAGAGGGGGATTAACCATTGGAATAAAGTCTGAAGGAGAGTCATGAACTCTCTCTAGATGTCTTCAGATGAAGACTGCACACTTTTCTTCACAGAGATGACTGGAGAAGGTCTATAGCCTGTGATATACAGGAGGTCAGTTTAGATCCTCCAATTGTTCCTTCGGGTCTTAAAATCTATGAATGTTTGAAATGTGAACTTTTGGGGGGGAGAGAAGGATTCAAAATATTTCTACCACCTCAAAATCTTTGATCTTCCCTCTCATTCTGGTATTCCATGGATCAAACCTACCTATGACTGCAGCTGGCTGGTAAAAAAACCAATTCTGCTCAATACAGGAGCATGATTTTCATTTATTCTTTATTTGAGAAATATACAAATAGTCTTGGGAAATGATTGTAAATGTTTATCACTTCTGTCATTTTCCTCTTCAATACAATGAAATTTCTTTCTCATGTAAACATAACTTTGCGAGACCGACACTGAGCTGTGCCATGTTGACTCATTTGCTGATACAGTAAAAGTGGTGTTAGACGGCACTTCAGCAACTGGAAAGCTCCATAAAGTGGCATTTCTGATCTTCATTGAAAGTTTGGTTTATAGGCGGCTTGGTGTGGAGCCAGCAGGCTCCCTACCTGGCTCCCCAGAAGTGGCAACATGTCCCTGCGGCTCTTAGGTGCAGGAATGGCCATGAGGACTCCTGTGCTGCCCCCGACCTGCTCCACTGTGAGCGTTGGCTCTGCAGCTCCCATTGGCCAGGTATTGTGGCCAATGGGAGCTGTAGGGGTGGAACCTGTGGGTGGAGGCAGTGCACAGAGCTGTTTGGCTGTGCCTCTGTCTATGAACGGCAGGGATATGTTGCTGCTTACAGGGAGCAACCCGAGGTATGGGCTGCCTGGATCTGGCACCCCAAGCCTCTCCCGCACTCCAACCCCCCTGCACCCAAACACCCTCCCAGATGTTGTACTCCACACCACCTCCCATGCCTCAACCCTGAGCACCCTCTGCACCCAAAATCCCTCCCTCTTCATTATCCAGAATTGATGATTTACTGACACCTCACATTCCCCCAACATGCCAATTAACAAAGCTTTTACTGTACATATTTGCACCAGCCAAATGGAGCATGGCCTAGAGGTCTTGCGGCTTACTTCCAGTTACATTTGCTGATACATGGGTCTCCTAAGGAAATCCATGGTAGCACAGTGTGTACATGTAAAGTCAGTATACCTGGCCTGTAGAATGAATTGTATCTCCAATGCCTGCATTGGGTGGCACTGTGAATCTTTAGCTGTTCATTGTTATGCTGAAAATCAATAAATAATTTTTTATACAAAATAAATTCATAATTTAAAAAATCATTAAACTATTTTAAAAAATCCTTATAATTCTCATAATAGAATTAATCATTGGCCTTGATTCAGGAAAGACCATAAGCATGTGCTTAAGCCTGTTCCTATTCAGGACAGCGCTTCAGTATGTGCTAAGGGCCCCTGGACATCAGTGGAAATTCAGCACATGTGTGGGTGCTGTCCTGAATAAGGATGCTTTCTGTCATTCTGGGCCTCGGCTGATCAGCAGCTATCCCGTCTTGAGGAGAAGGCAGGGGATGTGACCGAGGGCCATATTGCGAAGCCGTCAGGACCACGGTCGGGCGGTGGGCGGAAGAGCAGTCTAACGCGATTGCAAAAGCCTTCACGATTCACCAGTTCACTTTGCACATCTGTGCACTGGATTCTTTTCCTTTGCCACCGAGTTCCCAGAGGTGGGATGTAGCATTGTGTCCCATTTGCCTAACACACCTCAGTTTTCTCACTGGAGTCACTGGATCTCTTCTGGCCAACGGGATTCAGCCTGCCCATAGATGGGCTTTGGCCCTACAAAGTGCTGAGAGAAGAAAGTCAGTGGCATTGGGACTCCTTGGTAGGATCAGGCCCTTACTAGTAAGGAGTGTCAACTGAAGTGAGCTACCTGTGGCTTTCATTGTCCCACTTTGTAAACATTCCACTTTTCAAAAAGCCTTAGACTACAAAGCAGTAATTGAAATCAAACACACTGTGACAATGAGTGGATTACTTCCACTGCGGTGCAGTAATGCCCTGTCATCGCTAGGGCAGGAGATCATGCAACCCCCGAGCCCTTCAGTACAGTCACGCAGACTTTCAGTCCTGGGGTGAGAAAGGTGGGTTGATAGAGCAAGCGTTCTTCCCTTTAGGACATGATGTAGACCTCCAGCAGGCTGGCCACCGCGTGCATCCGGTAGAAGATCCCAAAGGGCAAGCATATGTCCACAATGGCGGCCCACATCAAGTAGCCGTAGAAGTTGAGTTCCTTCTTGTTGTCAAACTGCGGCCGGGCGCCGAACGCTGGCATGATCCAGAGCTGTTTGGAGGAGGGAAAGAAATGAGACAGGCTCTGTGACAGGGGTGGGATGTAGCCCTGAAGAGTACTTAAAACCCACTCTATCGGCTTCATTTAGCATGGACACTCACGTTGACTATTTTTTTCCCATTTTTTCTCCTTCCCTTTCCTTCTCCACCCCCGCTCTTTCTCTGTTATTTATTTGGAAACTGGACTTCATTCATCTGAGGAAATGGGTTGTGCCCATGAAAGCTCATGAGACCATCTACATGTTTTGTCAGTCGCTAAGGTGCTGCAGGACCATTCGCTGTTTTTTAAGTTTTGTCAATTACAGACTAATACAGCTCCCCCTCTGAAACTTTTGGGATGTGGTGAGCAATTACAACCCCAGGGCAGATGAGTCAGAGTGAAGGGAAATGGTTTAACTTTCACTTTTTCATTTTGGTGACAGAAAAGGACCAATGGGATTGGAGGAGCTTTAACTGAACCATCTGTGCCTCGGTTGTTCAGAAACAAACTGCAGCGCCTATGAAACGGGTGATTTTCCGCCACAGCTTCCCTGTCAATCAAAAGTGGCTTCAAAACATGAGAGGCTCATGCTACATTTAACTGGCTTTCTTTATGGCTTGCAATGAAAAGTGTGTCTGCTAATTGGGGGTAATTGCTGATGCAGGTGAAGCTATTTGGGGCCAGATTTTGCTCTGATACACCTGGCAATAGACATACTAAAAGTACCATTCAATCCATACGGTGAAATCCCGGCTCCACAGAGGTTAATGGCAGGGACGCTGATGGGGGAAATGGGGAGAGGGTGCAAAGGGGGTCACAGGCCCAGGTCTGGTAATTTAAAAGGGCCGAGGTTCCCAGCTGCTGCTACCTTGGCAGCAGAAGCAAATGAGTCCCCTATGGTGGCGCTGAAGGGTTGGCTGCAGAGGGCTAGACCCCAGGCCTGCCCCTTTTGCCCTAGGCCCCAGAAGCCCAGAGCCCCTTCTGGGCCTGGCAAAGTCTGTCCGCAGCCCTGGCCATTGGGCTTTTAATGGAGCCAGTATTTCACCCAAGCTACATAACTATCGATCACTTCACCTCATGTCTTTTGATGTCTAACATATAAGAAAAAGAGCTTAGATCAGGCTGTAGATGCCCTTTTCCTACATTATAAAGGTGGTACCAATGGGTTAAGCTTAATGACAGCTATTGGGCCTGATTCTCCTCTATTTCACTCCAATTTAACAGCATTGGGGGCTCAGTTGTCTGCTGGCATCAGTGGGCAAAACGCCACTGACATCAAAGTAACTTCACTGACTTCAGTGCAGCTACTTCTGGTTTAAGTGGGTGGGAAATCAGGCCCATTGTATTTTTTGTTTCAGAAGGGGATCTCAGAAACTCTCCCACAGGGGTGCTGCACAGTATTAGAGTAAGAAAAAGGCACATTTTCCTTGGACCTTCACCCACCCACCCAGGAAAACAAATCCCTTTGTGAGTCTCACTTACAATTACGTTGCACAGGAGCAGGAAGAAGGAGATCTCCTTTAGGAACTTCCTCCTCCATTTCACCTGTTTGGGGACCCTTATGGACTGCGGTACCTCTGAGGTCTGGATTGCTACTGCTCCCGGACTGTGGGGTGCCGGGGATGGCAAGGCGGTGCTGCTATCGGGGACACGGAGGGAGACGGCATTGATGTTGACAAAGGTGAGTCCATATGTACTCTTCTGGTGAGGATGAATTTTGTGCTCTTCTTCTGGAGGCTGCCGATGAAGGCCTTCGATGATGAAGATGTTCTGGAAAGTGTGCTGGGCAATCATCATCAGCGAGTAGGTCAAGTTGAGGGCGCTTATGGCATCCCGCGGCGTGCTGGCCACTACAGCCACAATGGAGTAGTAGGAGATAGCATATTGCCCCAACGCAGACCCCATCAATAAGGCCACATCCAAAGTCCTGGTTGGATTCTTGTGGTGGTCCATGTCTCTCTTGTCAAACCTGTAAACAATGGAGCCTCCAATGCAGACAAGAGACATCAGGCTCAGGCAAGCTATATTGAAGGTGTAATACATAATGAGCGCTTGGTCCTTCTTGTCCGGCTGGCTGGTGTTATTCACCTGAACTTCATAAACGATAAGGACCGCCAGGCCGCTTACTAGTATGACCAGCCCCAAAATGATGCCCACAAAGAAGGACTTTCTGAAAAGTCTGAATTTCAAGTGGTGGATGTGCTCGGCATGGTGGTCTATGAGGCGTCCAACGTTCTTCCACATCACGTACAGCATGGCAGAGGCAAAGAGACTGTACTCGATGTTGAAGGGATATAACCAAAAAGAGCCATTCTGGAAGATCTGGCAAATTTGGCTGGTGCAGCTGCAGCCTTCTGTTGTGCCACTCGCTGGTGCAGCTGGAACAGGAAAAAAACACACAGGTTACAGGGGTATTGCAGGGAGCACGTGCTTGTTAACCGTCCTGAAGAGCCTCCGTTTGGAGAATAAAATCTAAAATCCATGACCAAAGATACAAGTGGCTCTCTTGAGGACAGGAGGCAGGGTTGCTTTGACACTGAGAGTCCAGCCATTGAAACCTCGGCCTCCCTTTTTGTCCTGCCTTTCTGAATTGCTTTCCCCTTTGTCAAGCAATTACTTTAGTGAACATAAGTCTCTCCTTGGTGCCTGTCTAGAATCCCTTCTTCTTCCCTCTCTTCTCTCCCGCCCTGGTTCTTTCTTTCTTTCTTTCTTTCTTTCTTTCTTTCTTTCTTTCTTTCTTTCTTTCTTTCTTTCTTTCTTTCTTTCTTTCTTTCTTTCTTTTGTTTTCCTTTGTTTTCCTCCACCTCTGCTGCCTCCTCTGGTCATGTTCTCCCTCCATCCCTGTGACTCCTGCTGGATACAAAGCAAACCACGAGTGCTAAGATCCAGACTGGAATGCCACCGACACAAGCTAGCATTTTACATTGAGCAGTCCCCTTGTGTTCCCTCATCTGTGAGACTGCTATTCTGCCTGAATGAAGGCACTGGAATCTGATCTGGAGAAGGGCTTCTCCTCCATAGGCTCAGCTCCAGGAGTAGGTGGCTTTCCTAATGGGCAAATTACCTTTCATGAACAATTTGTGAGTTTCGTCGGTTCTGTTCTGTAATTTTGAGTGTGATTTGTGCACAGACTCGTCCGTGACGGCTGACATCCACACGGCAAGGTTAGTGGTCAAAGTAAGCATCAAGCCACACCTGTACGAGAGAGAAGATGCATAGGATCAAGGCAAAGTCTGCTTCTTTGGCACCTTTCCTTCCTAGGCCTCCATTTACACTTTGAACATTAGTGAATTAAGCCTCCCCTCTATGAGGCAGGCAAGTATCAATATCCCCATTTTATACATGGAGAAACTGAGGCACGGGGCAGGGAAGTGACTTGCTCCAGGTCACACAGGGAGCCTGTGGCAGTGTCAGGAAGAGAACCCAGGTGTCCTGATTCCCTGTCTGCTGCCCTAACTCCTCCTGTCTCTCACTCCCTTCACTCTTCATAGCATCCATCCTGCCCACAAAGCACCAGCTACATCTCATCCCTCACGCTTTCTGGCTCAGCCTCTCATAGGTGTGGCTGGAAGTAGGGAGAGTAATTGGGCAGGGCTGGACTGTCTCGGAAGACGGAAGAGCCAGCCTTGTGAAAGTGAATATGATGATCTGAGGGCTGGTTTCTCATTCCGTCAGTCTTTTGATCTTCCTAGTGCTCCTCTGCAGGGCTCCGCCTTCCTTCCTAGGGCCAGGGAAGTGGCCAGGAGTTTTTTAAAAATTGAAATATTATTGGCTAGCGTAAGGCTGTGCTCTTGGGAGGGGATGAGTCTTCCCACTTTTGGAGCTTAATGTGTGAGTGCTAGCACCGGAGAAGGTGCAGTAATTTGTCTATGGCTCAGCCCCCCCTCGAGGGCGACAGAATGTCACACGGAGTGGGCTGGGATTACACTGGACAGGGGCTCACCCCAAAACCCTGGGGCTGCCTTTCCATTCTGCAGCTGGCCCCCGTGTCTACACCTTACTGAACTCAAACTAAGACTGGATCCCTCCCCGCTTAGCACTTCAGGGCAGTTGGGCTCCACGCAGCAGCTCTCAGCTTTCCACTGCAAGGCCACGTCTTGCGTGTGCCTGGCAGGAATCCTGCCACAGACCCATTGCAGGAATGTTCCCCTCCTCGCTACAGCTAATGTGCAAGGCCGCCTAGGTAATCTGGCAGAGGAATGAAAACTGGCACAGACGGGAATGTGCCGAGCAGGGAGGACTACTTGCCTCGTGACATCCAGGTGCACGTGAATGCAGTCTTTGGCAGAAACCCACAGAAAGTACGTCTGGAAGAAATAAAAGTATTTATGAAGACTGGCCCTTAAAGCTGCAGTGTCAGACTAGAAAGTGCCCCAGCCACTTCAAGGCTCTTCAGAATGAAAGCTCCTGCCCCATTCTCTGCTGCGCCTATCTCATCTATGCCAGTAGGCGCGGGGGTGTGTGTATGGTGCAGCACCCCTGGCTCTTGGCTTAGCACCCGGGGTCCTGGTTGCTGCCTCTAGAGGCTGGGGGTTTTGCAGCCAGCCCTGCATACCAGGAAGTGTTGGGGGGGTGAGTTTTCAGCACCCTGACTCTTAAAAATGTCCCCACACTCTTACCCCATTTGCTTTGCCTGGTGCTGTAGCCCTCACATCCTCTCCTCTCTGCCTCTGCAGCTCTTTCTGCTGCTTCCCTTTGCGGCCCCCTCGCTGCATCTTCCCTATGCTGCTGCACATCACCGCTGCTCCTGCTTCTCCCTTGCTCCCCTCCAGCCCTCTCTGCTCCACAGTGCTGACATCCATTGGGTTTCCGGCCTGGAGGCTGAGACCCCATGGCCAATCATAAACAGATATCGGGGTCCTGGCTGCTAAATGAGAGAGACGCCCCCCTTGGAACCTAGCTGGGGTTCAGATGAGCAGTCCTGTTATGCCACAGCCAGTCATAGCATGGAAAAGAGTGGTGAACTTTGACCTTGAGCAAGTCAGTGTGGCTCAAACTCTTGGCCTATGGAGAAGCGTGCGCCTGGGGGAGAGGAGGTCAGTCAGAGTGCACCTGAATTGGCTCTTCTAGGTAACAATGGATCAAGGAGTGAACTAAGCTTGCAGGGCAGAGAGCGGTCAGAGAGCAATCAGCACCCCATGAAGGTTAAACTTCATCCCTGAAAGAGGCAAAGCTCACCTGGACGATCACAAACACAAACTGCACGATAGGGTAGATGATTTTGATGGTGGACAGGCAGTTGTAGAAGCTGGCAAAATACCCAGTTTTAAACACGTCCATCACAAGGGAGAAAATGGCAAACAAAACCAGGCCTCCTGTCGAGGAAGCAAAGGCAGTTAGAGAGGGTGTGTGCGTATTGGGGGTGGACAGGTACAGGGAGGGGAGCCCACGTTCGGCTGGATGGATGGAGGAGGGAGAGAAATGGTATCACAGTGCAGAGGGTGTTTTGGGCTTCTCCTTTATAGTGACCCCCAGTTTTCCTCTCATCCCAACACCTACAAAATTCTTTGCACCAACAGCCCTTGGAATGGAGAATGAGGAGGCTGGAAAATAACCAAGTGCTTCAGAGGACCTTCCCACATAAGGACCAGAGCCAGTGGGACACAGTTAATGAGATTGATTATTGGAGACTCCAACTGTCAGACCCAGATCACTAAGGAGAGGAATCTTCTGAAGTTTTCTGGAAGTGATGTTTGGAAAAGAAAAGAGACCATAGGGCCCCTCTGAGGCCATATGGATAATGCTTTGCTCACAGAGTGCTTACTCATTGTGCATCTCTCCCTTCCCATTACCCCACCGCCCCAGGGCATCACCCGTGGTAGCTTCCTACCTCTCAGCCAGACAGGGCCCGCGTGGGTGTCCTTGCAGAGGATGGCATCTTGGCGTTTGGCAGTAACGATGAGGTAGAAGAGGATCCAGGCAATGCAGACCAGCATCATGATTGTCAACAAGAAAAACACATCGTAGTCGTGCACAGCTACCTCGTTGAAGGCTGCACTGCTCACTAGAGTGCAGGCCAGTAGCACCAAATTGATGGCCAGCAGAACTGAGAACATGCGGCCTCCTTTCTTCCAGACCTCCTTGGGGCTGTGTGCCATGGGGGGTGAGTGCGGGCGGTGGCTCAAGGTGCCTGTTGGGCTGGAGGCCACGCTGGCCCTATCTTCCCTCTGACCGGAGCCCATGATAGAGTCTTCGCGTCTGATCTCGCTGTCTGGCTGCGCAGACTCCTCTGTCATGATTCAACTAATGCTGAAGCCACGTGTTGCTGCTGGGAGGAACAGAAGCCCAGAAATAAATGGATCACTCCAGCTGAATCATAGAATGGTAGGACTGGAAGGGACCTCGAGAGGTCGTCTCGTCCAGTCTCCTGCGCTCACTGCAAGACTAAGTATTATCTTTTAGACCATCCCTGACAAGTGTTAGAGAGTTCCCAATGACAGAGAGTTCACAACCTCACTAGGCAATTATTCCTGTGCTTAACCACCCTGTCAGTTAGGGAGTTTTTCCCAATGTCCAACCTAAATCTTTCCTGCAACTTAAGCCCATTGCTTCTTGTCCTGGCCTCAGAATTTAATGAGAACAAATTGACCTCCCTTCTCCTTGTAATGGCCATTTAGGCACTGGAAAACTGTTGTCATGTCCCCGCTTGGTCTTCTTTTCTCCAGACTAAACAAATCCATTTTTTCAATCTTTCTTTGAAGGTCATGTTCTCTTGACCTTTAATCATTTTTGTTGTTCTTCTCTGGACTGTCTCCAATTTGTCCACATTTTCCTTGAGATGTGGTTCACACACCCAGAAATGGACATAGCACTCCCGTTGAGGCCCAATCAGCATGGAGTAGAGCAGAATTGCTTCTTGTGTCTAGCTTAAAACACTCCTGATAACACAGCCCAGAATTCTAGTCAATTTTTTTTAGTTTTGTTGTTGTTGACTTATATTTAGCCTATGATCTGCTACAACCCCCAATTCCTTTCTGCTTCCTAGGCAGGCATTTCTCATTTTGTATGTGTGTACCTGACTGCTCCTTCCTAAGTGGAGTAATTGCATTTGTCCTTATTGAATTCCATCCTATTTACTACAGACCATTTCTCCAGTTTGTCCAGATCATTTTGAATTTTAATCCTATCCTCCAAAACTCTCGCAATCCCTTCCAGCTTGATACCATCCATAAACTCTGTAAATGTATGCTCTATGCTATTATCTAAATCATTGATGAAGATATTGAACGGAATCGGACCCAGCACTGATCCTTGCAGGACCCCAATTGATATGCCATTCCAGTTTGACTATGAACCACTGACGACTACTCTCTGGCTTTCCATCCAGTGATTTGTTTATGAGAAGGTTATGTGAGATGGTATCAAAAGCCTTACTAAGGTCACAATATATCACATCTACTGCTTTTCTCTTGTCAAAAAACACTGATAGGTTGGTTTGACATTGTGCTCGACAAATCCAGGCGGACTGTAACTTAGCACTTTATTATCTTCCAGGTTTTTGCAAACTGCTTATTTACTCCATTATCGTTCTGGGTACAGAAGTTAAGCTGACTGGTCTGTGTTTCCTGGGTTGTCCTTATTCCCTTTTTATAGATGGCCACTATATTTGCCCTTTTCCCAGACTTCTGGAATCTCTCACACTTTCTCTGGCTTTTTGAAGATAATTGCTAATGACTCTGCTATCTCCTTAGTCAGCTCCTTGAGTATCTTAGTATGTATTTCATTAGGCTCCTGTGACTTGAAGACATCTAATTATCCGAATAATTTTTAACTTGTTCTTTTTGTATTTTAGCCTCTGATCCGACCCCATTTTCAACAGCATTCTCTATGTTAGACATCTACTTGCTTCTATTATCTCATTCTTTTGTGCCGTATGTGCATGCCCTGCTATTGTTGGAATGAGATTAAGGGCTGACCCCAAAGGGATGGTGGGGGGATTCAAAGGAGGTGGAATGGTGAGAGAAGAGGCAGAATCCAGCACCCATCAAAACTAGGCTGAGCTGACTTCTGACATTTCTCCCGCCAAATTCCCACATATTCAAACACCTACTGCAGCTGCATTTCTCTGAAGTAACTTTGCCAGCCAGGTCACTCTGGGGATAATATCTGGTGAGGAGCCACTATGGTTACCTAGAAAATGTTCAGTAGTGCAAACGAATGCAACTACCAGGAGGAGACACTCGAAGGGACATTTTCCCATGGTGCAAAGTGAGTGGACTCTCGGCCCCAACTTATTTTCTTACGGGGCTGCAGCTTTTGTGCAATACGTGCATGCCTGGCTTCTGCTGTTAGTGGAATGACATCCAATATCTGTCTCTGCTAAGGGGAATTGTGAGAGCTAAGGCAGCCTGATTAAAAGGGTAGCAAGACCCTTCATCAGTAGCATTTGGTCCCTGGGACTCTAAGGGCTGCACGCACTGTTTTGTCAGTTTTGCAATCTCCAATCGATGCTTGCTAGAGCGAATTAAATGTCAGTTTAACATCAATATTCACTCTCAAGCATCACACAAAGCTAATATATAATATAACATTTTAGTGTATATTGATTTGAACTTTTGGAAAGCACCAGAATGTAGGCAAGATCAAAGGTCTCAGGGCAAATGGCAAACATGGCTGGATTTAAATGCCAGCCACAAAACGTGCAGATAAAATGTCATGCTTCCTGCAAAGAAACAGACTTATTACAGTGCTAAACCTGAGAGAACAGGAGTCTATTATAAGGACACAGTATAGTTTCCAGCAAGCTTAGTCATCTTCTCTAGCTTAGTGATCTTCTCTAGCTTTCCAGTTCCTCAAAATCCTGGTACAAATAGGTTAAACTCAGTGCTTGATTAATACTTTATAAAACTTTGAATTTATCACTGGATCAACCTGGGGTGAAGTATCTATGAGAGCAAAACTATTATTAAAGCCGAAAGCTGTTCCACCAACCTGCTTTTGCGTCTGTGACTGCTCTCCCGATCCAACCTGGGCTTCTACACAAGGTTCCTCTTCCCACAAATCTGGACAGCCGAGGAATTTATACCTATTTGGACATCTTCTTGATTTACACCTTCTGTGGGGCTGACAGTGCCACTTCATAAACGTCCCAGTGAAGCTCACATGATCCATTGTGTGCAGTGGGCTGGATTTAGGGAAGAGCAGGACAGGGAGGTGAGTTATTTGCCTTCGAAGGGCACAAGGCAAGAACATTACTGAGCATGGCATGAACCACACCTCTAGTCACAGAACAAGATCTGTGATCAAAGATCCATTAGATCAAGTCCCTATCCCTGCAAGGCCAAGCTGGAGTGTGCTGACAAATGATGTGTTATATGCTACGCTGACACTGCATTTGACCTTAGCTGATGGGCAACTCTGTCCTATTACAAAGGATGGGCAATACCCCAGGCATGGGCACTGGACCATCCCATATTGCTCTACCAACTTACTTCAACTCTACCCTATCTTGGGGGAAAGAAAGGAATCCACTCCTACATCCGTTCAGTCCTCAGTGTGGCTCAGGTGTTCTCTGCTTGGAGAGATATACTGCAGGCACTGAGTAGGACTTGCTATTTTCATGCCCTCCTTCACCCAAACACGAGCCCAGGAACCTTGTGTAGAAGCCCAGACTTGCTCTGCTGTGGCTGCCCTTCCCTGTTGCCACTGATAAATTTCCCTATATTCTTTCTTCAGCTGACAAGCTGATTTGCCATTGCCGGGACCCACACAAGTAGGAGATGCACTGTTCTCCCGTGGCTGCCCAAAGCTGGAGGCTTACAGAGATGATCTTCGTAGGGCAGGGTTGAGTTGTATGGCTTTGGCAATGGTCAGTTAAGACAGGAAGCTGCCTAAGAATGGGGCCTTTTATGGCTTCACTCTAACTTCACCTCTTCCTTGTGTTTCCCCTTTAGAGGACTGTTCTATCTATGGCAGAAATAGGCTCTGTCTCTGTTTTCTTTCCAGTCATTCCCTCTCCCGGGGTTGGGATAGCATGGACCTCATTTCTCCCATTACCTACAATGTCCCTTCTTTTTGCAACATTGGCCCTGACCAGCTTCATCTCATTTCCCTGCCCTGCCCTCTGTTGGCTGGGATGGTGACTGCTGTATCTTTTTCTGCTTATTTGTTCACCTCCCCAACACGTTCCTCTTTCCCCCCTTACTAGACAGAGCTGAGGTGAGAATGTTTTCTTCACGGAGCCCTTCTCTGAGAATCCCAGGAGTTACAAGAACAGGCATATTAATAACAATATGAGAGTAATTAATATAATGAATAGTGTGTTTACCATATGGGCCTTAAAAATAGCATCTATCCGTCTCTTAACCTCTCCGGGCCAAGCTCAGACATGATGTAATATGAATGTCTGCAAACGCACTATCCTGGGACCCACACAGCTGAATTTGGCTCTGGCTCTAGGATACTTACCTGTGTCCCTAGGCTAGGGGGTTGAGAGAGCTGACCGGTTAGGGTTTCCAAAATGCTGGAGAGATGGGCTAAGTGCCATTTTATTATCTTAAACCCAGTCCCAAATGCAGTTCTAAGCCATGTTAGTCACTGTTCTTCTCTTCCTTCTTTCTGTACCTTTCTCCTTTTAGCCTCTTTCTCCCTCTCTATAGCCCTCCCCTTCCTTCCTGTCAGTGACACTTTGTCTCCATTTTCAGCCCCCTTTCTGTTCTCTCTGTTTCCCTTCTCCCGTCCCAGTCCTCTGTTTTATGCCTCTCTTCTGGGGTCAACCTGCACTGCCGGGCAACCCTACCACCACCTCCCCTGGGATAGCTCAGTGGTTTGAGTATTGGCCTCCTAAACCCAGGGCTGTGAGTTCAATCTTTGAGGAGGCCATTTAGGGATCTGAGGCAAATCTGTCAGGGAGAGTACTTGGCCCTGCTGGAATGGCAGGGAACTGGACTTGATGACCTCTCAAGATCCCTTCCAGCTCTATAAGATGGTATATCTCCATATTATATATAGGTGGGCTCAGCCTTTGCCATGCCACAAGGATGTGCTGTAGGCCTGGTACCTAGGGATCTTTTGTGGCATGGCTTCCATTGATATCAAAGGAGCAACAGGAAATTCCCTGCATATTACCCTGCCGGGCAGCCTAGTGCACTCCAGGAAGGAAAATCAAAGACCCAGCCACGCACTAGGATAGCCATGTGGCTGGCTTGGCAGACAGGCTTGTTGTGTTTGGCCTTGCTGTGCAGCAGAGGGCGCCAGAGGACTGTGCAGCCTGTCAGCTCTGGCAGAGGGAGCCTGGAGCAGCCTGGCAGGGTCTGAACTCCCTGCAGAGGCTGGAGTGGGGTCACCCCCAGCAGGGAACAGAAGTAGGGGAGGTGCTGCCATTTTACCCACAGGCCAAATCCTGCCCCCTCCTAAGGGAGGGCCTCCAATGGACCAGGGGCTTCTCTGCCGACC